GTGAAGGGCACGAGAGGACAGACGAAAAAGTCCACATTATTCATTTGAGAGCGGTGTTCGAGTCCATGCGCACGAATAAGCCGTTTGCTCATGCAGACAAGTGCATTTTCGGCGCGGGAAAATTCCCGATTTAGGGTGGTTCATATAAAGCGTGGTCATCGAGCGGATCCCGCTAAGGACAGCTCCAATGTGGACAGGACATTTTTGAAGAATCAAAAGCACTTGCGCAATTGGCTTGGCCTCGGCAACTACTTGCACAAAAATAGCGCAAATTATGCGAAAATGTCACGGCCATTGTCGAATTCTCTTAAAAAGGATAAGGAATAATGTTGGGACACCGAGCATCAGGAGGCTTTTGACAGGGTCAAAATCAGTGCACCAGTACTGGCGTTGCCAGACCCGATTGACCTTTTGGTTTCGTATGTGACGCTTCGGACTTTGCTATCGGCTGTGCACTACTGCAAGCAGACGCCGAGTGGCGAAATCGGGTGATTGTGATCGAATTTCGCCAGCCTAAGGCTGCGAAGTAGAACTACCCAGTCCACGACAAGGAATAACTTGCGATAAAGTCTGCATTTATCAAGTTCAGGGTGCACCTGCTTGGCTCAAAGCCGTTTGTGATCAACACAATACATGCGTCATTACGGACTGCGACTCAGTCGCATAGGATGACCAGGTGGCTCTCATTCTTTGCAGAATATACATCGATGTGAAATATAAAAGCAAATTGGTTATGCGTTATCACGCAGAACGGATTATGAGCTTGCTCATGTCACGACGGTGACGTCGTCCTTGACAGATTTGAACCGCGCCGCATACGCAGGTGATGGTATATGTGTAGCACTGCTACAGGCTCTATTTGAAAACTCGAACACGAAAGTGTCGGTGCGATGCGCGCACGATTAGACCAAAATTTGTTAAATCACGGGTTGCTGAAATAAAGCATCGACTTAGCGGATACGCCATCAATTGTCGCTACTCACGATGAGTATTTGAAATAAAGTTTCCTCTATTTGGCCCACGACACCCAACTCAGTGTCGTGAGTAGACATTCAGCTCTGTGAGTTGCCCACCACTGGTGGTAACGGTTGTACAAATGGACAAGCACATATATGCGCTTGTGTGACACGTGACAGAGTGTGAAACCCTCTTCGAACGCGGCGGCGCCGTTGGCCAGTCTACCGGTATCCTTCGGGTGCTGGCAGTTCATGAGTATGAACTCTGGGTTTGGCCTGCTGAAGGAACAGGTGGGCAACACGAGTGTGGTGGTCTTTGTGGATAGTTTGAGCAAGACGGCTCAACTTGCGGCAGTACCGGATACCATCGACGGTGTGGGTACAGCGACGGTTGAGTACATCGACGCTGTTTGAGAATCGTGTCGTTCGACAACATGGACCCCTGGAGTCAATTGTTTCTGACAGAC